CTTTCACAGAGATCACATCCTCCGACGCTCCTGCATTTGTACCATGTTTCCTGTGCTCTTTTAAATTTTCTAGATAATATTCAGATCTAGTTTGTGTTACCTCAGATAATTTAGAAGTAGCTGTGTTTTGTATATTAGATCGATATTTATCCGTTGCATCGTCCGACGAAATCGTTTTTGTCAATGTCTCCGTACTGGCGCTGTTCTCCTGATCAATTCTCGATTTTTCACTCAAATGATGCATTCTTTTCATTTGTGATTTATCAATCGACTCGGAAGACATCGCTAATGTGTCGCGTGAGTCGTTTTCATCTTGATATCCATCTTTTTTATCAGATACCTGCGTCTGACTCGCCATTTTTTTCATATTATCCGATTTATTAACGGAATGTTCGTCCATTTGCGATTCTACAGCCGAGCGAGACGTCGAAGATGTTTCTGTCGATGTATATCGAAAATTACTTTCAACAGACTTCGTCGTTCCCGTAGTTTGCTTTACATTCGTATCAATGTTTTCGTCTCCTCTGTCAGACTTGTAAGTATCATTTGTCTTTGTCTGAACATCTGCATAAGAATTCTCCAATGACGAGTTCCATGAGTTTTGCTGGCGATAGCTATTGTTATCAATTATTTTTTTATTGCTACGTGTTGTTGACATACTATCCGCCGCGGAATCATCATAAATCACATTTTTTATGAAAATTTGATGATTTTCATTTTTATTGTTCGCACTATTATCGCTTATCGCTTTTTCCTCTCCGTAATTCCCGTCCGACGTTTTTCTGTCATTAATTTTATTTAATTTAATTTTATCTTGCGTTAAACCAGGTATGTTCTTTATCATGAACTTCCCCGTACGGTGAGGCCATTTCTTATGTTTTTTCAGATGACTCTGATTATCCTCGTCTGTCATATGTTTTCCCTTGCGTCTATTCCACGATATCTCCTCGTCCTTCGTTGCGTTATTTTTTTCTTCATTTCCTTTGGTAATGAATGTTGAAGCGTTTACGCCCTTCAGCTTCCAAAGATAATAGAGATATTCTATATATCTTTCCCAAGTCTCGTATTTACTTATGCTAGACATAAGTGACGATGACCACGTCATATTACGTAAAAATTGATTAAAAGAGTAACGATCGTATCGACTACGCTGATCATATTCACCACGCTGTCGGCTGCGTCCACCATCGGATTTACGTGCGTTAGAAACGGCCGTTATCGATTGTTCCGACGTCTCATCGTCAGCTGAAAATTTCCCTTCTCGTTCTAAATCACCGTAATTAATGTCATCTTCCCCCCAATTCCTAGTAGATCGTCCGACTTCGATTTCTTGGTCATTACGCGCTTCCTCGTTATTAGCATCAAAATCATTTACAACATGCGGCCGACGTCCCCTTCGAAACTTGTAACCCGGAAATCCCGGCATTAATATATACGCTTCGTCACTTTGATCAGGGATATCCATCATTTCTATTGACGTTTCGTGTCGACCAGTGGTGATGCGACGACCTCCGCTCAGGTCTACGTGGTCCTTCCTAGTTCCTACGAAGTCCTCTTCGCGTGAATCGTCCGACGAGGCGGTTCTTAATAAGTCGAATCGATCCTCACTTCCGTCCGAGGACGTCGCTTCCGCCGATGACTCAGCATCGCCGCTGACCTCCTCTTCATTTCCCCTCAGATCATAATCCTCATAATTTTCGCCGTCGGCGATGCTTTTCTGCGTTTTTACGCGTTTCGATCGCGCATCTCCGCCACTGTCCATCGCGTGCTTCGTTCCCGTCGACGCGATAGCATCCGAGAGTCCGTATCCGACAATGCTGCGATGGGCCTCCCGATTTGCCAGGTGTGTTTTTGAGCGCGCCCGAGATAGCGAATCGGCTCTCGGATGACTTTCAGTCCCGCTGAAACCCATCTCCGCCGCCGTCACATCATTATCAATTACGGGCCGAGTCGCTCGTAGAACGCCGTAGTCGCTGCCCTCGGTCGCTTTCCCTGCCGATCCATCATCAACCGATGGCGACGTGAGCGTGTTATTTGTACGCTCGTTCCCTTTTTCATCGGGTAAACCCGACGAGAGTGACGTCCCGGTGTTGGCGGCGGCATTTCGATCTATCGAGCGATAATACCCAATATCGATATTCACGGGTTTCCGCGTGGGCGTGGAAATTTTTGTTAACACGTTCCCCGATTTTTCTCCCGCCGCCTCCTTCGTTGTTTCTGCCGATGTCGCAGAGTAGATAGCGGAACGTTGAACTCCGCCATAGCCGAGATGTTTATTTTCGTTTCTGATATTTTTTTCCCCGCGCGACGAGTCCGCCGACGACGTGTTTTCAACTACAGAATCTGCTAAATGACGATTCTCCGCGCCGTCATCCGCCTCAGTGTCGTAAACAGGACGTTCTTGACCCCCGATACCGTAATAATACCGCTTACGACCCAGCTGCGTCCTTCCGTGCGAGTCGTTAGACGTCGTTAATTCCGTCTCCTCTTTGTACGGACCGTCGCGATTAATTTTCCCATGGATATCCATTCCCGATGAAATTTTATATCCCTCCCGATGGCCAACGTGAGCTCCTTCATCGTCCACCTCTTCATCTCCGAATCCATCGTACGTCCTTCCGAATGCGAACCTTTCCTTATGGTCGGCCGTCACCCCCGGTGACTCGGATTCCAGCGAATCCGTTGAATGAGGCGCGCGCGCTCCGAATCGGTGTATCCATTTCGCGTGTTTCCACCTCGGCATGCCGTCTTCCGTGTCTTCGTCTTTCGTTACACGGAAGCGTCGGTACGGTACATACGAGTATAAATAATATCGCGATCCGATATCGTCCGCAGTATCATCTCCGTAGGATAACGATCCGTGCGCGCGACGCGACACCGCAGTAGGTTTGTGGAACATTCCGTCTGTTCCGTCGCGACTGCGCTTCTCCCCCGAAGTAATTTGCAATTTAGGCGATGGACGCTCCCGACGTTTTGATTTATGCAGTAACTTTGCGTACGCGCGTCCAGTATCTGCGGTATCGACCGCAGTGGAGTCGAAAAGTTTATCGAACTCGCGTTTTCCTTCATGATGACGACGATGGTAGCGGCGACTCGGATCGAATATATGAGTATACCACGTTGGGAATAAGCGATGACGTGAGTCGTCGGTATTTTCGGTGCTGGAATCTTTTACTTTTGTGTGAAATGATGGTCGATGAGGCGGGTGATGAAAGATATTCATATCGAACGATGACCCAGACAAAAGCCACTTGCCGAAATCGTCACTGTTGAACAGGTCTTTGCGCGGCACCACTCTGGCCACCTGCGCCTTCGCTCGTTCCAGTATCTTGCTGATAGCGCGACCGTTCAAGGCTTCGGCGACGGTAGCTTGTTTGGATCTCAACACGTTGCTCGCACTTCCCTCGCTTAATTTAATCAACTGTTCGGACACGCTTCCTTTATATGGATTGCTCGAAGCCCCCAGGTCTCTTTTGGCACGATCGCCGTGTTCCTCCATTTTCTCATCGACGAATGCGGATTCTTTCATCTCAAGATCTCCCTGATTCGCAAAGAGCTTCGTGAGCGTCCCTATGTTTTCCTGAATCCACGGAAGAATTTGTTCATTGTTATTATTATCCGTTGAGTCCTCGCTGTTTGACGAAACATCGCGTGAGTCATTTTTCAATGTTACAGTTTCAATCATCTTCTTAATTCCTCCGACTATCTTATGTATAAACTCTGCTCCTATTTTCGATCCTTCAGAGACTAACGCAAGAAGAAATGGTTCGTCGTCTGCATTACCGTTTTCATCGGTGCCGTCGAGAGCCTGTATATTTTTAAATTAAGAACGACTTGTGTAGATTTTATTTTATTAAATATTTTAGCTAATTTAAAATAACTTTATATATAAAAATATAAATTCGATACAAAAAATTTACTTTTATTTGAATTTATTAACCTACAATAATTTTACTAATATATTTACTGATATATTATTATTATTTTATAATGCAAACAGGAAAGTTACGGCTGTGGACATTTTTGTTTTAAAACCGAAAAATTAATAAACTTATTCTCCGAATTGTCGGTATGCGTGTGTACAAAGCTGCTTTGAGATATTTTTAAAAATATCACGACCGACCGCTTATTATAACATACTGCTATCGCGCGAAAAAATTTTGCAATAATTTTTGGAACGTGATATTCGCGATATCCTGATAGTTTTTGATACGCAAATAATGCGTCTAGACATACCATTTGATTAAAAAATTTAAAGATATCTCCTCCCCAGTCTTTCCCACTGGATGCATCGTCCGACGACTCTGTTCGCGCATGGTTCGAACTATCACTTCCACTATCATTTTCATCATTTAATTCACCCACACTTTTGCCATTTGACGTCTTCTGATGCGGGTTAGACGAGACGAAACTCCAATAGAGGAGAAATGCTAAAATCACTGAAATCTTCATCCTCGGCGAAGCTTTGAAAACTGATGCCTGTTGTCGTTAATCGTTTCGTTTTATACTCCTCCTAGCAATTGTGAAAACATTCCGTTTCCTCGCGAAAGTGCGATGGATGTCCCAATGTTGTTTCAAAGTGTGTTACGCGCAACTTCGATTCGTCATTTGATTTTTATTTATAGGTCTATCTATTTTTCTTTGAAAATATTTTTTTCCCGGAATTTATCTTTCCGCGGCTTAACGGTTATAAGTCATCGGTAGCGACAAATCGGGAATATCGATTCGCAACCGTTATTTGTTGTTACATTTAAAGTTTGCGAGTGCACGATTTACTCGTAATTTTATAAGTGCGGGGGGTTGCGCGTAAAAGCAGCATAAACTTGTAGTACAACGTAAACTTTAATCGAGTACACTCGTCTGAAAAGATGATGAAACTTACGCGGCAGTTTGCTTAAAGAGATCTCAATGTTGAAGCGGTGGATTTAACGAGGATATTAAACCAGCGCTTATCGGCGAATGTCTGAAGTAATACATCATGTCTCTCGTTTTATTTTTAGCAACAGAGGCATCCGCCTCTTGTTCTTGGTTGGATGTTCCTGGTGCTGCCGTTCCTACCCGCGTCCAATCTCTTCGTCACCGTGGGCTTCGTCGTCGCGGAACGAGTTTTGTACACGCCGAGGTAACTAGATCGATTACTCACCGATGGTCACGATAATCATGGCGACTATCGCGACAGACGACATGAATTCTCCCTCTGTGCAATTTTACAGTGTCGGATGGATCATCCTGATCGTCTACGGTATGCAGGTGAGCTGGACGGCCGTGCCACGGCGGAGAAGTTGGATTACCACGGGAATGGTGCTTCTACTCGTATTGGGCTGTTTCAGAACGGTGCTTCGGAACAACGATTGGACGTCTAGGGAAACTTTAATCAAGTACGTGATAAGGGATCGTTATCGCGAAACTTAAGACGAGGAGGACCTTCCGCCGGCTTTGACGAAGCTTTATTATAAAGTGTAATTTTCTCGAGCTCAATTAAGTTCTTGAATTAACGATTAACATAAATAATCGGCCCTCGTAGTCACGCAATCGTACCTCGGGACCTCGGTAGTTACGGCAAAAATGATGTCGTCACGCGAAGATATGTCGTGTGGACGTTCGCGACGAGCGCCTCGTTCCGACTTAAACGAGGGAGGCTGGCGCGCTGCCAATACTGTAAAACTCGAGCGCAGCCGCTAGGCGCCGATTGGCTGTGTGTATGGGGTCGCGAAACATAACTAACGTAGATACGGGGATGACGAGGGTGGTGAGGGTCGTGTCGAGGTCGGAAGGATGGTCTTGTCTGACCTCAAATCGCCTTGTTTCAGAGCGGGGCTGCGGTCCCTGCCCTACAATGCCAAGATGCATTACAACTTTGCCAACTTCCTCAAAGACACGTCGCAACCGAACCTTGCGGTCCACCATTACCAGTTGGCCCTCTGGTAAGTACGAGATTCTCCTTCTCGCGCGCGCGCTCCTACGAAATCGCCGCAAAATCTCGATGTGCCCACGCTAGAACAAAAGCGACGTTCGTTAATTCGCGCGGGAACAATAGGATGTTGTTGCCGTGGAAGTAAGAGTTGTGTGCACGCGTATATGTCGTATACCTTCCATTATCCGGCCGAGTCAGAGAATAACATGGGAGTTGTTCTCGTTCCAAATTGCCGACGTAATCGATATTCCGCGCTTCGTTACCTCCGAGATGCACAACTTTTTCATTATCGATACATTTACAGTAGGAACTCTGCTCCAACGTCCCAACGAACGCTTGATTATCCGCGATTGTTCTTTGTATCATTTCTTTTTTTAACAACAGATTAATTTTAAACACTTCGCGCGCACCGATAACGCGTCTTATTCACGCTGCTCGCGCGTGTCGTTTATAAGCCTTTACTTCAGTGAATGCTTTACGTTACAACCGATTCGTAAATGGGCTCGCTTTTTCTCTTTTTAAATACACTTTCGATATCACACATCTCAAAATCGATTAAATCTGTAATTCGCTGTCGACGCTTTATCATTTCCCGATAAATATTTTCGCTGCGACATTCATCTATACGATAATCGAATTGCGCGTGTACGAAAGTTTACGTTGAAACGCGTGATGGCAGATAATCAGCGCGATATGAGTACACAATTGGCGGAAGGTAGCGTTGCGATTTCGTTATCGATATAATTTCAACGATAAAATCCGTCATTTCACAAATCATCATAAATCTTACTTTATTGCCGTGTCAGTAGCGCAACACGGGAATGCAAAGTTCTGCTTCGTTTCAATTATATATTTTTACTAAAAATAGAGAAGATACTAAGAACACACGCACATATATACATACATAAAAAACGTAATTGAGCTACGTTTATTAAGGTTTTAAGCAGTCAGGGTCAGATTCAAAGGGGCAAATAAAAATTAATACGTTTTATCTCGCAGCATTTACAACGATTGGTGAAACCGCGAAATCCAAATAAATAATTCCAGCATGTCGCCATGAATCCGACAACTTGCATTTTGCATGGTCAATTACTGCGTATCCACTCGAAACCGAGTGAACATTGATGGAATCTTTCAAAAATTGGATAAAGCTTTAAAAATATCGCTGTAAAATAACGTGATAATTCTCAAAAACGTATGGATTATTTCGAATGTTATACATTAAATTTCTCTACTCTTTATTTATTTTTAAATAAAATTATCTGTTTGTTAAGAAAAGTGGGCCACGATATTTGAAAAAGTTTCTTAAATGCATTTGATTAAAGTATGCAGAATAATCTGAGCAAGGTGGTCTTCAAACATTAGCGCCGGACTTGTCTGGTAACTGTTTAAACAGCCGGCCAAATAATTGCCAGCTGGCTGTGTTGTCAGTTTTATGTGCAATTTTGCTTTACGTGTGACCAACGCATCGAATCATACGCGCATTTTTAGAATTTTATTAAGACAGCTTACCCGCGTCGACGATTAATGAACAACTATCTGTGTAAACCGCATGTAGTCACGATGCGTACGTGAAAAATATCGCTGCAACAGATGCTTTTGCGACGCTCGTCAGCGAAATGTTACGGTAATGAAGTCATCCCGTTATTATCGGACAGTCGGCGAATCATCTCAAAAGAATTTATTACCACCGATCCGAATATCGTATAAAAAGACTTTTAGTTTCTATCTTATATTTATTTATCCGATAAAAATTACGAATGAGCAGACGTCAAACACAAATTCATGAATATGAACGTTACCCTGTGAAAGGACGTGTCGCCTTGATGTACATGAGTCTACATTCAGAGCACGGGTTGATACCCTTCACGGCGAATACATCACGATGAAGAGGAGGAGGAGGAGGAAAGAGTAATTAAAAAGATTTATTTATACATTTCAGAATTACTGAAGAATTTTAATCGACTTTCAGCTCCGTCTTTTCCCCTTGCGATTTTATATATAGTAATTCTTTCATCTTTTGAAGATAGACAACGATAAATTAATGCATAAACTCACCGGTACAATTTAATTGCAAATCTATGATTTGCATTTTTTTAACTAACTCGCCAAATACTCGGTGTTTTCACCCCGCTCGGTTGCGATCGAATGGCGAAAATCTTGCGGAAAACAACCGCAATTATTTCACTGCATTATCTCTTATTATTCCCCAAACCTGTCGCGAACCTGTACACGGAGGGAACGATTTTGCTGGAACGGCAAATTATTTGTTAATATAGTAAATAAGATATGTTAAGGACATTAATTTTTGGCTGTGCCAATTAAATTTTTTCGCTGTAACAATGATGTTTCGCTACAACAGCAAAATTATATTTTCCGCGTAACCAAACTTTTTGCCGTGACTATATTAACAAACAATTTACTATTCCGGTAAAATGTTTTCCTCCGTATGTACGATGACTTCTGTCACCGCACACGCACAACACGCGCATACTTACGAGTGCGCATATGCAAACTCTACTTTCACCCTTTTAATCAGTATTTCCCCGCCTATGACGGAACACAAGGAATATTATAAAAAGACGGCGCAATATGCAATCTTGTTACACCGTGCTACACGTAGACTCTTTTCCCCTTCTCTCTCCCTCTTCTCCTCAACTTCGCCATAGGCCACTCTTCCGCGTTCCCGTCGCGTCTCCCTCCTTTCTCACCCTTTCAATTTGTGCACAGCGCGAGTAGGGTCGTAGCAAACCGACAAAAGTGCATTAATTAGCCGCAGCTCGACTGCGCTCGAGATGAAGTGGTAACCAGTCATTCGTTTTTTCTGTTTCGTTCTCCCCTTTCTATCCTTCCGTCACTACTCGTGCTACGCTCCTGTAATTCCTGTATGCGCATTTCTGCTCGCCCGCGCTCTCTCTCTCTCTCTCTCTCTCTCTCTCTCTCTCTTCAACGAGTACCACGCGAAATTTGTTACCCCGTTAACCGGTGTAGAGAGAGAGGGAGGGATGATCATCACGGCGGGAAAAATAATCGGCTGTCGGGGGACGAGTACGCGTTCGCTCGGTGCTTTGAGCTGCCGCTTGTATTTTCGCAGTGCGTCACAACTCATCATCGGGCAATCATCTGCGGCAAACCGATAAATCGAACCGTCGCTCCACCATGCGCTACGTGTCGCACGATGCGTTTCGCAACATTGCTCAACGTCCCGCGTCGAATTGTTTCATCGTAATATCGGATTATTTGTCTACGCGGATGCAATCAATCCGGTAAACATATCGAGAGAGCGGCGCAGCGGTAGCGCACGGCGCGGGCAAAAAATTGAAAGGGTGAGAAAGGAGGAGAACCGGGGGAGAGAATTGGTCGCTGCGCGGCTACAGCCGGAGTCGCCGCGCGCGGCGGAGAAACGGGGGGGGG